CATTGGATTTTAATAGGTCTCCTCAGAATCCCCAGACCTTGCCCTATCCGATTATTACTTATTCCTTTTGTTAAAAAATTCTCTCCATGATAAATGCCAAAAATCAGAAAGTGGAATAAAAATGCTTCTCGATGAATATTTTGAGGTAAATCACAAAAATTTTAAAAAAGTGTATAAGAGGCTTTCTGAGAGAAGGAAGAAGATAATAGAGCAAAACGGTCCAAATCTAACACAGTAAATCAACCTTAAACAACATATAAAGAAAAGGGAAAGGACTTATGGGTCATTTTTTCTGTTTTATTCAAATTGCAGAGTATCATCTTACGGTTATACAATTTTAGTAATCCATAATTATTCTCTTAATAGAATTTAACTTAATCTTTTTTTCATAAGATGAAACTATATTTTGTGAAATTTGATTATATTCAATTAGCTTATTAGCTTATAAAATATATACAGAAATATTGTACAGAATATTACTATAATCAACTGAGATATTCTATTTTAGTTCTAATCTCAGAATTGTAAATCCTGAAATTTCATAAATCAGTAATAAATCATCCTGTATAAGAATTTTAGTTGTTAAGAAAGATTTTTACATATATCACTGTATATTTAAAAGTTTATATAACACAATTATGTCCATATTGATATAAAAATTCTGGACTTTCTTTCATCATTGAAAAGGAAAAAAAAAACATTTCATTAGTATAAAATATGTTAATTTATCAAACAGTACCACGAAAACAATCATTTCTTACCAGTAAGATTGTAATCCTAAGTATATTTATTAGAATTAAAAAACTAAAATAATAAAAAAATCAATTTAAAACTGCAAATAGGTGCAATGCAGTGGCTTTCTTCTGATCCTATAAAAAAAAATGGTGGCTTGAAAGTTGCATTTGAAATTGGCTCCAAACTGGTAGAACACTACTATTGCAATATAATCAAATCATCTCTAATTAAATGGATTATCCTAATTCAAATATTAATACAGTATTTATTATTAAGAATAACTTACATTTTACATCATTTTCACATTAAAAAAAATGATACTATTTCTAATAAAAGAAGAAAAAGATTTTAGGTACCAACCTTGGACAACTGAATAATGTATAGAGAATTTATTTTTAAAATTGCTTATTTATATAAAACATTAAATTAATCAATTGATATAAAATTATTAATATTTAAATCTAATAATTAATTAATATATTTTTCACAATGATCAGGATTATTACCAATTCTATTATAATAATTATTTTTCTATGTTATACGAAATTACTGTAAATAAATTAATTTTCAATTAGTTATTATGAAGGAAAATAATTCTGTAGATTAAAAAAACAACAACAATGAAGTTTTCGAATATTTTTTATTCTTTTATAATTATACAATTATTACAGTTTTTCAACCTGTGTTTAAACATTTCATTAACTAAGGGAAACACATTATCTAACTTAACTAACAGGGGCATTAGTGCTAAATCGAACTATTATTTTATTTCTCTTAATACCGACAGCAAATGGAAAAAATATTAAAAAGAAACAAAAATATTAGGGTAGTGAAATAACCATTCATATATTTGTTTGTCCGTAGTTGAAATGAATACAGGCAAATCTTTCCAATATAAGGGTTATAACACTTATTAAAAATCCGACTTAAAAGAGATCTAGGATAAAGTCACATAACATTAACACTTTACCAATTATTGGCACTTATAACTTTAATTCGATAATATAAGGGTTTAGTTTCATGTAGGATTTTGAACTTGGCGCCATTTCAAAGGCTGATGTTTTTGAAAGGGCGCTAAGTTTGAAATCCTACATAAATGCTTATTTTATAAAATTTAAGTAACAAGTGTCAATAACAGGTGATTTCATCCTACCTATTTGTTATTATGATAGAAGTATAAATATTAAAAACTAATAATTTTATGGATTTTTATTAAAATATGATCCCGTTATATACTTATATTTTATTTTAATTTACACCCTACCCTGCCGATAAGGCAACCATACGGGTGTATGCATGTGCGTAGAACGCAGTATGCGTTACATTCACCTGCTGCTTCAGAACAATTACATTTTTTACAGCTGTGCACACAGCCTGCTCTTTTTTTTCTTTTTATCGGCATCTGTTCACCCTCTTGGCGGTCTTCCGTTACGTATCATGTCCCATTTTTAGTTCCAATGAAAAGTGGATTGACCCAACAGTTCCTTCACGTATAGATTGCTTGTAATACGGGTATTTTCTTGTCATAAGTTGAGGGAGATCGCTCTCCGTCCAGAGTGTAGAGCCCCGTCTCCTCAACAACTTAGCCTCAGTGCTCAAAGGGGTCAGACTAGGATGATATGCTCGGCGGTCTCCGGCACTCTCGTCAAACTTGGGCATAGGGGATCGATGTTCTTGCATATTCAACGAGCTTTGTCGGAAAACCCCATGCCTGTGAGAGAGGGAAACTGTGAGACCCAGTAGTCCGGGAAACCCATGGTCTGTCTCATCTCTTGAACGCAACAGTGGGGAAGTATTTTCTTTGCGTCTAGCCTATTTGGCGTCGTCTCCACGTGGTTACCATTCTTTTCATGTGTTCTCCCGAAGAATCCTCTTCATCCATTAGTGTTTTCATGTTGATCCTCCACACGAAGGATTCGCGGTAGATCCACTCAGGCCTTCTCTCTTAAACTTATGCCGGAAGTTTTCTTCTCGTAGGAGAAGAATCAATAGGAGTAGTTCGGCTAAGACTTGTACCGCCTCATGAGACACTGAACGGTACGCTCTAGTGACCCGCAGCAGAGCCATCCGTCCCGTTATAATACTTGGTAAAATAATAAAAACGATAAATATATGTATCTTTATTAAAATTCGATAACATTTAATTCTATCATTCATTAAATGGATATCCCTTCGAAACTAAGGCCGGATAATCTTCTTCCACGCTAAAATAAAACTTCGATGCGGGAGATAATTTTTTGAAAATTATAGAGAATCCCTTCATAAATTATAAACAAAATTAATAAAAGGGGACAAAATCCGATCTCTACCTACCCGTGGTGTCCCTTGGGTTATGATAACAGAGACTGCACCGAATAATGGTATAACCATGAAAGGATTGCAGCACAGGCGGATTTACGGGGGGGGGGGGCTTTCGGGCTGAAGCCCTTCCCCCAAAACGGTAAAATATAACCATGTTTTATAGAAAAAAATATATCTCTTGTAGTATTATTGTTCGTGTAATTACATTTAATAGGACTTCAAGAATCACTTAAACACCATTTCATATAGGTCATTTCTTTCTTCTTTTTTTAAAATTAATTTTCGTTATATATATATGAAACAAAATCTTTCGGGCTGAAGTCCCTCCCCCAAAATTAAATCCTGGATCCGCTAGTGGATTGCAGGAAAATGCATCCCTGGAGTAGAGGAAACTCCAAGCCGCAGTGAAGGTGACTCTTCTAGGGGTGGAAGACCCTGATATAAAGCTTCTTGACCCTCCAGGTTGGTGGTTAATGCAGTAGGCTAGCTCCTCCATCATTGAAAAAACATAAACTGCTAAAATACCAAGAAACAAGCTTCGGATGCTTGATGGTTTATTACAGAAAAGACTTAATGCAAGAAAACGGATAATCAATATAGGATATTGGAATGTACAAGGCCTGTCAAGTAAGATAAACACCCTCCCCAGGAACGTTAGGACGTTAAAACATTCAACAGAGACGTAATAGTGTTATCAGAAATAAAGAAAAAGAGAGTGAAGAATTGGAAGACTTCATCTATATGTGGTCAGGGGTTGAAAAGCACAAGAGAACGAAATCGGGGTTTTCAATCTTAGTCAAGAAAAGCCTTAAAAATAACATAAGAGGCTGGGAGATGATAACTGAGCTGTTGATAACAATGGGTATAACTTTATATAGAAGATACGTTGCTGTCATAGGCGTTTACGCAACAAATAATGATCAAAATGCTTATATAAATTCTGGGACGACTTAAGGAAAGTATTAGAAAAAATTCCCCGACGGAAGGAAATATTTCTGAATGCACAAAACATGAATACACGGGCTGGTAAAGGTTAAAACTGTAAAGTGATTGGAAAATTTGGTGAATCCGTAAGAAATGGCAATGGAGAAAGACTAATATAGATAATAAAGGTAAACAACACCTTCCTTGAACATAAAGACATTCATAAATTCACGTGGCATAATCACAACAGGCGACTAAAATCAATGATAGATTATGTAGCAAAATAATTCTATGATACAAGGATACATAGAGATGCTCAATGTGGTTCAGACCAACACATACTGAAATCCCTTTTTATTGAATAATTAATAGTTGGCCGTTGCATTATAAAGGAAGGAGATGGTCCGAGGTGGCGGTCATAAATAGGCTAAATAGTGGCAAAACTATTTTATTAAAAGTCTCGGGCTCCCTCTTCCCCGAAATTGTTTTAAAAAGATGATATGCCAATATGTTTTAAAAATGAAATAATTAGGAAACAAGAACAGAATTAATTTGAAACAAAAAACGTTTTAATGTCTAGGACATACACACACACACACACATATATATATATATACATATATATATACATACACATATATATATATATATATATTTTTTTTTTTAATGCTAAAACCAAGGCAATTGAATTAATAGGAGATTCATTATTATTCATTTCCACATAAAAGGAAGATTACCTCTTTGGAAACCTCCTTCTTTAGTACAAGTAAGATCTCAACTGATATAATATTTAATCAATACAATTGAACCATGTGAGGTACACCTTCAATATATTGCCTTCAATTATATTGCTTTAATAATATTGGCTCAATAATATTGAATGTGTAATGGGCCCTTAAGGGAATGGATAAGAAGACTTTTGTCACTGTTACTGGACCGGCAAGGTCCAAGAGAGTGGAGCAGGTTGTCACTGTTCCAAACCGAGACCCTGTGACATGTCACTGCTCCACCAGTTTACCATCACATACCTAAGTCCAGAGGTTTTTAAAATCTTTACCTCGAAGTCCCGTGCCGGTTGTTCGGTGGGAGTGTCTTGTTTAGATATTTTCATTTATGTACAGATTACGTGAAAGTTACGTATTCATTTCTGTGTCTTTGTTGTTTATGAAAGTTTACCTTCAATTTATTGTGTAAGTTGGATTTTAAGTTATTAAAAATATTTAGTTGTTACATATTTAGTTACCTTTAGTGCATCCTATGCTATTTTATTTTATGTGTTTTATTATTATTATAATTTATTAATAATGGAATGAACAGTCTTTTCCGTTGTATTTAAAAGATGTAAACACTACATGGTCCTTGCAAATAATTCAGGAAGTACTATTCCTTGGTCAGTGAACAAATGACAAAATAATATTGAAAGAAGTGAATAATAAATAACAATGGTTGTGAGAGGGAGGAATTCATTACTGTCCTGGTTAAACTACAATAGTGCATTCATGATAATAAACCAAGATCTGTGTATAAATTATTGTGAACTGTATTTTTTCAAATAATAATCCAATTTTGATGATTTTTTTTTGTTTAGTTTTGAAGTTGTCTTCCCCATGCCTGTCATGTCATTATATCATGTATCGCCACCATATTTGCTGATTGTCAACAATAAGTTGACAGGCGCAAGTATATATTTTATAGAAAAAAAAAAAAAGTTTTGAAGGGAATTGAGTAATCTTTGAAATGAATGTAATTCATCTTAAATTCCACACTTTTTGAGTTATATGCTTATAAAATTTTATTTTCTTCTTAAACTGTATCATTTAAAATTACGTTAACTCTTTCTCATTAATTTTGGAGGGATGACTATTTTCCCACCTGAAGAAGATATGTGATCTTCAAAATTATGGCTGAATTATTGAATTTTATGAAGAATTAACGAAGATAAGTATTCAGACAAAAAAAAACTTTTGGGAAATAATATATAGTACATATAGATGGTATTAAAAAAATTCACCCAGCATAGGTCTATAAAACGAATAAACTGATGATGCAGGGCATGATGCCCACATAAGAATATTTTAAACAATTAATCCTGTCTTGATCCTAACTTATTGAATGACTTTTATTGATATGTAGAAAAAGAAAAAAAACTAAATTTTATTCCGGGAAATTTAGTCCTCTAAGAATAATCATAATGAACAAATATATGAAATTGTCTGGCATTATAAAAAAAATAAGAAAAATGTTAGCTAACAAAACATAATAATCTAATCTTATAATTAAAATAAATTAAGTACAAGTAAACATATTAATTTGTACATAAATACAAATGAGTGTGTTTAAAACACCATTTTAATTTGCTACATCCAGCATAAACAATGATCGTTCTAATTTATTTGTGGTCAGTTTTACTCATGTTATTATTATTCTTTCCATTATTATTATTTCTTAATCATTTCTTAATTCAAAATACTTATTATTTTATATTGTGTTAGTTGTTTTATCATTTATTAGTCATTCATCTATATGCAGTTGTTATAAGGTCTATATTTGTACTGTACATGTAAAACATATAACATTTCCGGCAGACGAGTAATCATGCTGTATAAATGTTCTTTGTATTTTGGATTTATAATGTATACATATTTAATAAAGCATTTCTCATTCATTCAAATGAGTGTGTTCATATATTTGTTTTGATTAACAATATTCATGTTTTGTAAGTAACCGTAACATAACATTCAAATGAGAGCGACAGCTCTTTGATACGAAATTTTATTCTTACACGTATTCGCAAGATTGATTGCTAAGGAGGTGGAAGAATAAATGTTGTTTAAATGAGGTTAAGATAGAGGCTTTGTTTATTGAGACAGGTAGCATGCATGATAAAGTATTTTTTAAAGGAAAACGTTCTATCTCGTGTTAAACGAATGAACAGAGGAACCAGGAGTAAACAAATCAAGAAAGTTGTAAAGGTTCGGAAAAGGTGTACACCTAGGAAATATTGCCACTGGAATTCTGGATAGAGCCAATTCAACTCAGCATACCAACTGGAGACGTGGGAGTGGCTAAGGACTCCAAAGATGAATCGAATGAAACAATTCATTAATCTTTTCAATCTAATCTCAAACCCATAACATTACCGTCCACCGTCGATAAGGCAGCCATAATCAAAGTGAGGAAAGATGAGGTGAGGATACTTGGAGTTGGCGGATTTTTAGGGGCATAGAGTCACGGAATCTCAGGAACTATTTTAGGATTATGTTTCATTGAGGTTGACTAGGGAATAGTATGGAATGGAATTAATAAGATGCTTGGAACCAATGAGAATGGCTTTAGTCTTCTCAACGTTCAACTTTAAATCATTTCCCGCTGCCCAAGCAGTAATACTGTTTATTATTATCTCTGTTTACTTCTTGTAGTCTTCGGATCGCCTTAAGCATCTCGGTAGGATAAAAGGAAAGGTAGATTTGGAGATCATCAGCATATAGATTTGTAGTTAGGTTTAAGCTTTGAAATTATGATTTGTCACTTCTCCATGAAATACCCCATCGTTTGATATCTCATTCATCATAATACAACCTTACCAAGAGCCGGAAAAGAGATTTTTATACTATTGTAGTATATGTGCTGTAGATTTCGCCATTTCATTGCAAAAAACAACAGTTCTTTTATTCAGTCAATGAAACCGGTTTGTACAGTTGATGAGTCATAAATTGTCGATATGACGGTACTTTTAAATTAATTTAGCTTTAGTGTTTTGTAACTGTTGTTAGTCCAATTGTGTTTCACTTGTTGTTTTTTATTATATTTATTTTTAAAGTAATTGGATTTTTGAAGATTATATCTTAAATTTTTTTGTGAAAGTTGCTAGATATTTAAAACTGTTCGGTTGTTTTAGTTTTTTCCCAAGCATTCTAACTGATTTTAGGAATTGATAATTATGTTACAGTTTAGCTACTTTATTTTAAAAAAACCTCAAACATTTGTAGAAATGTAAGACTTAAACAAGTAATATCCCACTTGTACAATGTTTTCATATATTGTAGCTATGTTATAAGTCTTTAATTGTTCTAATTAAATTATTATTCTTTTTTTTTTTTTTTTCAGGTACAAGTGACATCAATGTTACTATTCCAGAAGAAATGGCTGATAAAATTAATCCTTCATGTAAGTTTTTTTTTTAATTTCATGAGAATTTCATTTAAAATGATTAGAGATTATAGCACTAAACTTCCTTTTTATCTACTATTAATTAATAATAAATAGTCCGTCGTCGTACAGATCCCTTTTTATCAAATTATTAACATCCACTTAAATCTTCGTAAATAGCTTCATCTCATTGTAACCTAATAATATTTTATTTACCTAAAATCTCGGAATTGGAGTATTTTCAATCTGGAGATCGGCAAACTTTGCCTATTTAATTAGGTATTAAAAACTTTTATGTGATCTCAGAACTCTATTATAAATGTCCTTGAGACAGATTGTAATATTTTTCAATAAATAAGTTTAAAAAAATAAAAAAAACTTTTAAATACCCATTTATTTTCTTTCTACTAGAATCATAAGACAATTAGCAGAAAGTCGAGAAAAAAGGTGGTCTACAAAAATATTGGGCCGTTTGGCATCATGCTGAATGACTTAATATAGGTCACCTCCATTCCCAAAATTTCAAAATAACGAGTTAAATAGGCCAATATTTTTGTTAGCCATATTTGTTCTCTATTTTGTGATCACATTATCTTACTACCCAAGTGAAAAGCAAATGGCTGGGTACTTTACATCATCAATTTTACACATTTTTACGATTTTTTCGAAAACGGCTCTAACGATTTTGATTAAGTTCATTATATCAGTGTTAAATTAACCAGTTTTTAATATAATGTAAGTTTTATTCTCATTGATGTTCTCTAACAGGGCTTAAATGCCTAAATTTCAATATTAGCTTCCTCTGAAGTACCTTAAATCTTTTTTATTTGAAACAACCATTCATATTGATCTCTAAGATAAAAAATATTTCAATATAAAATATGAATGAATTTAATAATTAACTAATTTTTATTTTGTATTTTAAAATAGTTTATTTGATATACTGCCCAAGTCTGGTTGATATGAACTTTGCTTAGTGTAATTATTTCTCTAGAAAGGACAGATAACCAGCTAGTTAAGGTTAAATAAGTTTACTAAAATTGGATTATTTCAGTTTTTAGTTCATGGAATTTTTTTTTGTTTGTGGGAGCTCTGTAAAAAACTATTTGTTTATTCTAATGAATTTATATTTATTTATTTATTAGGTGCTTAAGTGCTTATAATGTCTGGTGATAAACACATAGTTAACAATGTCTATAATATTTCATATTAAATTAATATTTTGTTGGTTTGCAGTTCCAATTGGTATCAAAATAGAGGAAGAGGAGAAAATCTATTACGGTGAGAAACCTTTAACATTTATATAACCTTGTTTTTAATTTTGGATTGATAAATAAGTTTTGATTAATGTAGACCAGAAATGGCCATTCTTTTTTAGTCTTTGACCTAACTTAATGAATTTGGTATTATTATATAATTATATCATAATATAAAATAATTATTATAAATATAGATTTGTCCCAAAATACTGGGATGTATTAGAGAGGAAACTTTGCTAGAATCTCATCTGCTATCTGAAACGTTAAAATTAAAAGAATTTGAACGTTATTATGTTTTAGATTGTTATCACTAGGAATAGTCCAGTAACCTTGTCATGGAAAAAGGTAGTCTTAAGTTGCATTAATTGGTGATCGAAGGTCTCTTTTTATTTTCTTGTATGTGATGTAATTAAGATACAAAATCCAAATTTACAACGTCGGCATCTCCCCGAACCACTTTAAAATATCCAAAAGATTTCTTTATTTTGCCACTTTTTTTCGGTTTTCTCTATTTTGACCACGATGGAGCACATTTTCGTCTAAAAACATACTACTAGTTTCTGTAAACCTAATAGGTTTCAAAGTACAGTTTTTCAAAATTTGGCAAACTTTCCAAACTTGAAAATTCTAGGCTATAATAATTTTCATGTTTTATCATATACAATTGTCTTATTGCCTTCAATAACCTGTCTAATATGAGTCTGTGAAATAAACATTTATTCACTTAAACATTTTGATGACGGAAAGTTTGGTGGGAGAGGGGAATTCATTGTTTACACCAGATAACCGAAATCAAAATATAAAATTTATACATCAAGTGAATATAAAAAGTGTAAAAGAAGTTAATGAAAGTCTAAACCAGAAGTCTCCAAACATTAAAGTGAGGTAAATACTGAAACATCTGCACATTACTTATTCAATGCAAACAAACATTTTTTTTAAGATTGTCTCCGAGTTACATCTTAACTATTATTTTTTTTTTTTTTTAACTTTTATCCTTTTTTACAGATTCTTTTCTTAAAGAATTATTCACATGACATATTGACACGTACCAATAATTTTCAGTAATATGAATACTAAAATTAAATTGAAAACAATATCTTAATTTTAAACTAATTTACTACATACATACATTTAACTAACTACATACAGTAATTACATAACTTGTTTATCTAATTTATGTACGTCAATAGTATGTTCTTCTCAAAGAATGCAAAATAATAATTTTATTGTCCAAAATAACTGCTTAAAACACACATTAATATCATATCTTATTATTTCTTCAAGTCGTTGATTTAATGAGTTTACTATTTTAAGGTAATAGGTGACTGCGTGATGATCAAGAGAAAATATTTTTTATCAAAATGGAAGTGCAAAATATCATTTGCTTTATTTTACATTATGATATTTTGTTTTTTCTCTTTATTTGTGATCTTCGACAAGTAGAATATGTCACACTATATTGAGGTAAAAAAAATTGCTTTTGAAAAAGAAATAACTAAAAACTTTAAGGTATACTGATTTTTATGACCACCAGTGTAGTATCGTAACTCTAGCGAATCTGAATCTTGATTCAACTTCTATTGTTTCAATGTATTTCAGCTCACCGCTTTTAACCAAATTATTTTAAACAACAATTTCATCCATTATATTCTCTTCCTAGTCCAGATTTTAATCCTTACTTGGTCTACTTAGTCAAAGCGAAACATACAAAGTAATTATTCTTTTATATCTTTATTTATTTCTATCAAGTTTTCCTTGTTTATGGTATTATATTTTATTTTTAAAATATTATTTTCATGTCAATAGGTGGCCACGTCCACGTGAAACAAGAAGAGCTCATTTTAGACGAAGGTGAGAAATATTTATCTTTAAAGCTTTCAGTAGGCTTGTAATCATCCTAATTTTTTAGAATTTAATTATATTTGCCTTTTGTCTATTTGCTCATCGAATATTGCTACTATTCTACTTTACTCAGAATCATCAATATTTTAATTTTATTTAATTTCTGTATACACTTTATTGATTTTCTTAGTGATGTGTTTTTTTTATGTCATTTACAAATATTTATTAAGTATAATTTCATAGTCCAGGAACTAGCCATTTTTTTCTTACCTCATGAGCAGCAGATTTGACTAGGGCATATGGAAGATCGCATAATTTAGTTTGAAGAAAAACTTTGTCTGGCAATTACTCAGAATAACTTTAAACGTGTATGATTTTTCAAAATATAAAAAAAAAAAAAAAAAAAAAAAAATGGAAAAATTATCTCATAGCGGGACAGTAAATGTTTATGTGGAAATGTTATACTGATTGAGATGATTCATGAAACACCTTTTGAGACAAAAATGTTTGTTCATTTGACTTTTCCAGACAACAATTTTAAGAAGTTTTGGTTGAAATTACCTCATAAGTGGGACTCTTGGGAAATAGTTTATATCAATCTTAATTTAGGCTTCCCAGAAGAGTCTCATCTAGAATCTGACAAAATATCTTGGTGAGTTCAATCAATTAAAAAAACAATAATTCGAGAAATTTGAAAAAAATAATTCATCATAAACAACATGAGACGATATGCATCATAAGTAGAATGGGATTTTTTTTTTGTATAAATGTTCTACTGAAAAAAAATTATTGAAGAAAGAAGTTTCATTAAAAAAACAGTTTAGATATTTACCCTTTCCGGATAGAAAAACTGAAAAATGTTAACTGAAATTTTGGCACATGTGGATTTGCTGTGTTTCTGAACCAATTCAAGCTTCTCTATATCAATCTTAGAAATAAAAAACTTGTATAACATCTTATTCGATCATAAGATTAATTTGAATATATTTCCCTGAGAATGAGCATTTGTGGATTTGACCAACCAAACATAATTAAATGTTTATATATATTTAAAAAGTTCTCACTTTTTTAGCAGCACAAGTAAGCGACTTCTTCATCAAAATGTAGTTCTATGGATGTTTCTGACAATTATGTCTGTTTACATACGTACCTACTCTAGATTTAACTAAGTATTTAAATGGTTTTAAGTTATGAAATTTCCTGGCCCTAGTTAGCTAATCTATCAAGATTTTTATTTTAAGATTGATATAGAGAAGTCAGAAATGGCTGAATTGTTTCAGAAACACAACAAATCTACATGTACCAAAATTTCAGTCAACCTTTTTCAGTTTTTCTAGCAAGAGGTAAACATCTCTATATACGTCTATACCTCTAAAACGGCAAGTTCGATTTGGCTCAAATATGGAGGAAATTTAGAGGTAGACCGAAATGAAGGTGGGAAGATTGTATTAAAACCGACCTGAAGGGACTGGGTTTGGATGATAATGGGGATGTGTAATAAGTGATAGGTGGTGTTGGCATCGAACTTCCGGGTTCGCTAAGCCTTTTATTTTATTTTTTGTATATTATATCTATATTGTTAATTACATTAGCATAGAAGGTATTTGTGTTGCCTACATCGGTCTGGTTATTTATGGAATTCTTCAAATTTTTAGTAATATATACAGAATCCACAATTTTTCTTTTATTGTTATTCTTTTCTTTATGAAATATTTTTGCTATATAAATAAAAGCTGTATTTTTCACCACATTTATTTTCATTTACCCTCCATAGTGGCTACGTTTTGGCTATGATCCCATTTTAAAGCCATCTAGTTAATACTGCTCATTCTAATCAGTTCATAATTGGATTATAATCTTTTTTTATATAGTAAAATATAATTTTTACCTAAAATATAAACATACATGAATTATTTTGGGTTTTTTGAAATCAAATTGATGTTTATTATAAAGTGCATTTTGTTAAAGGCTGTTTGATTTTTTAAATTTCCAATTGCAGTTCTGCACATGTTTTTTCATTCATTTTGAGAACCATTGTCCAGTTTGTCCTATATAGGATTTGTTTGTGCAATTTTTATTCTAGTTTAGGCCGAAACGTTGTCAAGAATGATAATATGGAAGAAATAAAATATAGATAGATAGATAGATAGAAAGTAAACTTTATTCTGGGACAAGGTCCCTTATGAATAACAGATATGAACAAAAAATAAAAACTACATCTGGCCAAAAATTACATTAGTCAATGTTAAAGAATATATAGTATCTTCAGTAAAATTAAATTAAAACAAGTAAAAATAACACCATTTTGAAAAGAAAACAAAATAAAAAAAAACATTATTTAAATGAAAAGAGAACAAAATAAAATAAACATGGGTTGATTTTTAAAATTAAAAACTCTATCAATTTTTACAACCATTCACCTCAGTCAAAATCTGTTTCGCAATATTTATTTTATTGTATAACGTCATTTTGGGATGTGAGAAGGAATTGGTAAAGATGATATTTAAATGAGGACAAGGAAGAAGCATGGCGGACTTCAGAAGGCAAGGAATTCCAGAAGGCAGTGGATCGGGCAATAAAGGAATATTCAAACGTCTTAGTTCTATGAGAAGGGATATAAAGGTCGGAAACACGGGATCTTGTTTTCTGGGAGTGGACCACGGGTTTGAGCTGAAGGAGACTGTAGATGTAGGAAGGGTGTCGGGTGTTGATCGTTTGGAATAGGAAAGATCCAAGGAAATATTGTCTGCGGAAAGAAGGGAAGAGCCACTTTAACTCTTCGTAAAGGTGGGACACATGAGATCGCCTCGATGTACCGAAGACAAATCTTAAGCACGTATTCATGAGTCGCTTCAATCTATCCTCGAGTACCATCGGGATGCCTCCGTACACCACACAGCCATAGTCAAAGTGGGGGAAAATGAGAGAGGATACAAGGAGCTTGCGGATGGGTTGTGGGAGTTGGTGGCGGTAGCGATAAAATAGCTTAAGGGTACCTATTGACTTACAGGAGATGAGGGCGATATGGGGTTTCCAGGAGATGTTTTCATCTATGGTGATTCCTAGGTTTTTAACGGAGGAGCTGAATGTGATAGGATGATGCTTGATGACTAAAGGAGGAAAGAAGGAAATGGATTTAAGAATAGAATTGGAACCTATAATAATGGCCTGAGTTTTCGTCGTGTTTAGATTTAAATTATTCAGACTTGCCCAGGCACTGATCCTATCTAGGTCTGCCTGAATATTAGCGAACACGACTAGTAGCTCAGAAGGATGAAAGGAAAAATAGATTTGGGAGTCATCAGCGTATAAATGATGTGAACAGTGGTAGATAGATTTGGAAAGATCATTTATGTAGGAATTAAAAAGGAGAGAGGAAATGCTCGAACCTTGGGCCACTCCTGATTACAGTGTAAGGAAGGAAGATAGGGGTTGGTTTGGAATGCTGACTGCTTGAGTTCTGTCGGATAGGAAAGACTGCAACCAGAGGAGGATGTAGAGCTGTTGGAGAAGGATAGAGATTTTAATTTAGTGTAGAGTATAGAGTGTAATATATATGTGTAATATGGCGTTAAATTATGAAAAATGAAAACCTCACGATACCAAAAATAGGAAAAATGAACAGAATAAAAATAATTTTTTCCATTTCATTTTTTTATAAAATTGCACATGCAATAGTCACCCTGAGAAAGGAGCAGGCAATTTTTTTCTCGAACTAAATGATTAGACCTTCCATATCCCTTAGTTTTGAGGTAATAAAACATAACTAGCTCCAGGACTATAAAGGATTAAAGACATATTAACAAAAGTTCATTGAAACTTTAAACTAATTAATTATTGCGATATGTTGCAGAACCCAAGATTGCTATCAAAGAAGAAGAAGAAGAGGAAGCTGAAAATAATTATGGTGAGGAAAATATTTATTTGATTTAATCTTTTATATTATATTGTATTAGATATTGTATAGTTGTTTTAAATTTGGGCAATTGGTAAAATTAAATTAACAGTTGTATAATTTGTAAAATGGGGGCTGGTTCGCCGTTAGACAGACAAGGAATCATTCATAGTGAATCATACTAGAAATAATAATTCATATTAATTTCTTCATTTAGTTTTTAAAAAAAATTATATTATAAATAATAATATTATTATGCCTCGACCAGTTTCTGGTATTGTACCGAAGAAAGTAAGTCGCACAGAAAGTCTGTGTTCTGAATTTCATCTATATTTAATATTTAAAATATCAATGGTGCATATTCGATATTATATAACTCTAAAATGAACCTAAATACAAATCCTAATATATTTTTAACTTAAATGTTAGTTATATGTTATATGTATAATGAGTTATGTTAATAATATTTAATGGCTTAACTAAAGAAAATTGTGTAGTGACCGAAGTTTTCTAATTTATTCCTGATTGGGTTTTCTTCACTTTCTTAAAATATTGTTTTTATGTCGACAGGTGGCCGTGTCAATGTGAAACAGGAAGAGCTACTTATCTCTGACGAAGGTGAGAAATGTTTATATTTAAACCTTTCATTTGTCCTGTGCTCGTATATTAAATTATTATTATTAGTATTAATTATTCTTTATTTATTATTATCTTTATTTATTATTTTTCTAAGGTGTTTTTTGTCAGCCTGCCACATCTTTGTTAATTTTTCATCAAATCTAATGACTAAGCCATCATTTTAAAGATTTTCTTCTCCTTCAGTGGAGGAAATAGCCCCATCTTCCAGAATAGCCAGAAGAAATAAAGAAAAATAAACTGTATTTGAGCATAACTAAAAAATTATGCAATTTATGTTTAATTATAACCTTTCTTATTTGAAAGGTTTATAAATTTCTTACAAAACAAAAAAAAAATCATTGAAATTAGACAATGTTACAGCCTATTGTACACATGCTCTGGTCTATTATTTCGAATGAATCTTTATAATATACCGAGGAATTGAAAATTAATTCTTACATCTCATAATATCTTATATTAACTTATATTTAGAGACTGGATTTCCATGTTATTGCATATTTTATTTGCTTGCGTGTAAATACTCTTAGCCCGATTACCTATCTGTTTCATAATCTGTAGAATAACATATTAAAATTTAATATTTTATGGAATTGCACAGTTTAGCCTTTTCAGCTTAAATTGCACGATTTTGATTTTTGTTGCATCAAATTGCACTTTTTTTTGCTAGATTAGATGATTTATAAAAATTAACCTATATATAGGTGTCTAAATATTTTCCGTTTTTATTTTACAATCTTGTCCATATTAAATCTATAATATGAGATTGAAAAATATGAGGAAGATAAATAATTTTGTGACTAGCAAAAGTTCAAATTTAACAATCTAAAAGTAAGAAGTAAACATAAATGGGGAATATTGTTGGAATAGAACTTGCCAGAAATGTTGGATAAAAATAAAAACCTGCTTCGTAGGATAAAGTGTTAGAAACATAGTTATTGTTATTATTTTGATTTGAATTTGCCTTCATCAAATTCATTCTTCAGGCCTTTAAACTTTGTAAAGAATTGTCGTAATGTCATTATCATTGAAAATAAAAATATTGTTTAAAATATGGATGTCAAATTACCCCGAGTTGAAATTTGATGGGAAAGTTTTCTTTTGTTAGCACTGTAAAAAATCAATCTACTGTGACAAAAAATCACAGATAGATGATTGTAGAGTAGATACAAAAAAAATCTATTTAAAATTTTTTTTAGTAAGAGCATAAATTCCAAAAATATTTGTTTAGTGATCTAGGAAAATACCAACTACTTGAATGTTTAAAAATCTCAGTTCAGAAGCTGAACACAAGGTGTGATAAGATTCTGATGTATTAATATTGTGAAATAAATAAAATAGATGATTTTTGAAGATTTTTAGGTTTGAATTATAATTTTTTATATTTTGAGTTTTTACTGCATGAGTTTCAATTTTTTTCTGCTCATTTTTTTTTTATTTTTACTGCACAAAGATCTGGTGTCTACTTATATTTATTTATTTTGTGATTTGTTCTCTGATTAAAATATTATGTGAAATATTTGCTCAGGCCAATCAGTTTATTTATATATTTGCTTATTAAATCAATTTGATATGTTATAGATAGACTGCTAATTTATAGATACCTGCAAATAATTGTTTATTGACGCTTATTTCTTGTATCATTTATAAATATTTGTCAAGGATAATATTTAGAAATAAAGACATTAATAAAAGTTGGTTGGTCTTTTTAAATTAATTAATTATTGGAAAATATTGCAGAATCCACGGTTGTTATTAAAGAAGAAGATGAGGAACCGAAGATTGATTATGGTGAGGAAAATATTAACTTATTTTTATATGTGTAGATGGTCCATATGATAAATCAACAAGGATTTGATCAGAAATAATTTCAAATAATATAGAAAAGTTCATAAACTCACCGATGACATCATTTCACCCAAATTAGTACAGATCCAATGCCACTGATAAGCTCAGTGCCGAATTTAGGAACTCGCTCCATTTAACTATTTACATTTATGATAAAGGATACTTTTTGACTGCAGAAGATATGTTGTAGAGAAGTTGGTTGGGGTTTTCAGTCAATGAAAATACAAAGTAAAAATAAATAAACTATAAGGATAAAACAAAATTGTCAGGAATTGCAGTCAAAATTTCTTTAATGGGTTAGCCAATGTTTCGTCCCAAGCTTGTGGGTCATCATTAGGGCTAAAAATTAAAAATATAAAATAACATTAGAAAAATGATAAATATAAAAGTGTAAGAGTAATATGAGTGAAGAATGACATTAACAAGATAATAGTAATAAGAATAAATAAATTAGATCATAGTAATAAGAGTTAAGAATAAAATCAGAAAAATGATAAATATAAAAGTATTAGAGAAGAAATAGGCGGAACATACGAATGAGATAATTAACGAGAATGAGATAATAAACGTACGAAGAGATAATAGAATGGTCAGTAAAGAACTGCTTACAGAAACTGGTCAATCAATATTCCATGATGATTATTTTGTATAAACATAACAATAATAAAAATATAGAAATATGATATGAAAATGTTTACAGAAATCGGTTTTGGGTGGAAAGTGCAGAAGAGAACTGGAACTTTCCTCATTCTTATCCTCACATTCTTCTAATATTAATTTAATAACTATTTATGGAAAGTCAATTCTTTGGACACATCACACAAATTTAACATTTTTTAAAGAATTTTCATCAATTCCTATACATTTTTGTTCTCTCTCTCTCTCTCTCTCTCTCTCTCTCTATATATATATATATATATATATATATATATATATATATATAATAGTCTTATGTCAGATCCTGAGCTATTTATTTCAAGGGTGTTATTTTCTATGAGCTATTACCATCAGTACAAACAATTGATTCAACTCTATACTGCTCACAATTAACAAAATTGGATTAATCAATTAAAAATAAATGTCCAGAACTGGCAAATCAGAAAGGTGTTGTGTTCCACCAAGACAACCCTAGGCCCCACACCTCATTGGTCATTCGCAATAAATTATTCAGCCTTGGATGGGACCTTTTGCCCCACCCTCCCTATTCACCAGACCTAGCTCCAAGTGACTACTACTTATTCCGGTCTCTGCAGAATTCCATGAATGGAAAAAAATTCCGAAAGGAAGAGGGACATCAAAAACCACTTGGATCAGTTTTTTAACAATAAACTCCAGACATTCTATGAACATAGCATTATGCAATTAGTGGAAAGATGAGAAAAAGTCATATTAAATAATGGTCAATGTATTGTAGATTAAAATAAATTTTATTTTATATATATCTGTATGTTTTTCTTTCTGTATTTTTATTTTAATTAGATATTATTTTGTAAATATTTAATGTAATGTATGGCCACACAGGCTAATAAAAAATATTTTCATTTCATTTCAAAAGCTGAATGGTGCTATTAATCAAAGTGGCGTGAGCCCGTGTGCTTGATCGACGAAGGTTACACTGTTGTAAGCTGATTTGAAGTCCAGGTAAAGGGCTACTTTCTCGAAGATCATTCTGAAGGAGGAAATTTAGCCTGTGGTTGATCTGTTCCTTCTGAACCCAACTCAGTTCTTTCCGATCTCTCTTTTTTTGTCCTGGATAAACCTCTCGAAAAGAATGTTTGTCAACACCTTCTAGACATTTAAGAGAAATACAATGCCTCGATAGTTGTCACACTACATCTGGTCACCTTTCTTGTGAAGTAGACAAATGACACCTCTTCAAGCATCAGGTGTTCTTCCCTCTTCCCATACTGTAATGATGAGTTTGTGAAGTTCCTGCAAAATGGATTGGGGAATTGAACTGGAGTAGGTTGTAAGCATAAGAAGGACGATGATTGTTGATGATTTGATAGAGGAACGAGCCTAGGAAATATTGTCTTCAGAAGGAGAAGAGCCACCTTTACTCTGTGTAGTGGTGGGAGAAACAGGGATGTCTCGGGGTCCCAGTTACATATCTTACAGATCTATTAAACCTTCAGTCTGACGGTCAGAGTGGCCGAGCGACTCAACAACCCATGCTGTGGCCACCTGGATTGCAGATAATATGATATATTAATACTGAGTTCGCGTCCCGGTGCCAAGGGGGCTTTTAATTCCGGCATTAATCCCCCACATTCAATCCCTAGCCCAGGAAACTACCGTATAGCCTAAAAGGCGAGAGGGACAAAAAAAAAAAAAAATAATAATTTTTTTTTTTCAGTCTATTACGGAGCTCCGCTGAGAGAGTGGCATGGATATCAAGGATACTGAGGAGGTCGAAAGTGAGGATGTCAAACATTTACTCGAGTAATTGGCTGACACTGTTTCTAGGCCTACTGCTTGACATCCTGTTAATAGTTCCTCTATCATTTCTGACTGTTCTTTAGCTCTGGTTGAAATTAGAACCACATCATTAACAAATTCAAGTTTATTAAGGTTTATTCCATTTATTTTGATGCCCTTGTTTCTCCGTTTTAGGCTTTTGAGAGCTTTCTTCAGCATGCAGTAAAATAAATCAGGTGATAGAGTATCTCTTTATCTTACACCTCTTCTGACTGTAAATAAAGGTCTGTTTCTTTCTGATACAATGTAGGACTGGTTATTCTTGTATAACTCTTTTATTATTTGAATATAATAATCTTCCACACCTATCTCTTCCACGGATTCTATCATACTGCTCTGCTGTGCTTTATAGTGTTGGAGGCCTTCCAGAATTCTATTAAACTTAAGAAAACTGGGAATTATATTCTCTAACTTTTTCTACTAGTTGTTTCATGAAATGCAAGTGGTCTGTTACAGAAAAACCTTTACAGAATTCATTATAATAGTACCTTTCAATGATAGATTCACGGTTAGGAATCTAACATGTTAGCCTATGAATTATTGAATTTTTATTTATTTATTTAATTTTTTAACTAAATTTTCTGCATGTATTATATATCATAAGTTTATTACAAAAAGTCACTGGAGCTGAACTTTAAAGAATTTCGAGCTTATTTATCAATTAAAAAACTAGAACAGTTAGTTCATAAAAGTAATAAAAGCCCATTTTTATATCAAATACAGGACGCTCTTGATAATCCAAACACATAGATTGCATGGTCTGCTTGGGTTATCAAAATGTTCGAATAATCTATGATTCAATTTTAAATTGTAGAAAAATTGCACAAGGTAACCAAAATAATATATATATATATTACCAGTTAAATATAAGCACATTACAAATAAAAAAATTATTTCTAAAAATGATCATATATTGTAAGTCAGCCGGGTCTCTAATTTTGTTGCGTTAGAAAAATCTTGATCTTGCAAATTCCTTAAAAGAACCAGACTTCGTTAGTCGACATTGTATCTATCCGTTTACTCCATGCAAGTAATGAATGCTTTTATGGCGTTTCTCTGGCTTATCTATAATGACAAATAAAATGAATGTAAAGAAATTATCTAGTGAAATAAAATTAATATAAAAAAAGTATGAGCGTTTTACCTTAGGGAGATCCATGACTTTTTGTGGTGTTTGGTGAACTAAAGATATGTGAGTAGGGCGTTCAATCCTACTTCACACCCTCCAGCAAGTCTGGTGGGCCCCTACCTCCAGCAAGTCTGGAGGTCCCCTCCCTCCAGCAAGTCTGGAGGGCCCCTCTCATTGTTGGTCAGCGAGTCCATCGGACTTAGCCGGGAGGAACTTCCAAGAAATTTCCACCGACCATCCCCACATCTGCCACCCGTGGGACGCTCCCCATACGTGGTAATGAGCCCGCGAGGATGCTCATTATCCGGAGGTAAACTAGTCCCCCGTTCGGGTCTCCGGGTTGATAGTTGAAATATAGGGATTTAAATATTGGTACGTGGAACGTAAGGAGTTTAAACACAGCAGGGGTGCTAAAATCGGTCGCGAATGAGGTAAATGGGTACAATTTGGATGTCGTGGCTCTGCATGAGGTTCGCTGGCCAGGGGAGGGCTCGATGAGGGAAGGAAAGTACACTATTTGGTACGGAGGAAGTGGGAATCATTGTTTAGGTACCGGGTTTCTAATTAGGAGTAGATTACTATCCGCTTTGAGCAACGTTCAATTCTTTAGTGATAGAATTTTGGTAGCTATATTTCAGGGACGTTGGTTTAAAATCGCATTAATAAACATACATTGTCCGACCGAAGACAGTGACGATGAAGTCAAAAGTGAATTTTACGATAAACTCGAATGGGTTTATGATAAACTACCGCGAAACTACATGAAAATAATTGTAGGTGACGCGAACGCAAAGGTAGGAAGGGAAGAAGTTTATATTCCGACGATTGGTAAAGAAAGTTTGCACGAATATAGTAATGATAATGGGATCCGTCTGATAAACTTTGCCATCTCGAAAAACCTGATAATTAAAAGTACGACGTTTAAACATAAGGATATTCATAAATATACTTGGACATCACCGGATTCGCAAACACGAAATCAAATAGATCATGTCTTGATACAACACAGCTGGCAAAGCAGTATAATCAATGTACGGTCTTATCGCGGAGCAGAATGTGGGTCGGATCATGAATTAGTAATCGCGAAACTTCGACAAAAACTTAATATAAAAAAGAGAAAAGAAAACCGTTTCGATTTTGAGAATTTTAATTTGGAAAAATTAAAAAATCCATCAATTAGAAACCAATTCGAGCTAGATGTTAAGAATAGGTTTGAAGCTTTAGAGCTTCCTGACGAGGACCACGAGGATATTGACAAGTTATGGGTAGAGATCAGGGATAATATAAAAGCGGTCGGTAACTCGTGCCTAGGAAAAAAAGAAACTAAGAATAACAAACCGTGGTTTGATGAAGATTGCTTAAACATGTGCGAAAAAAGAAAAGCCGCTACATTAAAAGCTCTAAATAATCCTAGCGAAGACAATCTGGAATACTTCCGAATCTCAAAGAACGAAACGACAAAATTGCTCAAAAATAAAAAAAGGGAGTATCTTAAAAATAAAATAATTGAAATAGAAACTAATAGAATCGAAAATAACGTAAGAGACATGTACAAAGGTATAAACAGATCACGTAAATATGTAGGGCCCGTAACGTCTGGAATTAGGGATGATAATAACAATATTCTGACCGATCCGGTTGACATATTGAATAAGTTTAAGGACCACTTTGACAATATTTTAAATACGGGAAATTATGATCTGTGTCCTCCTTCTGAGTACCAGAGTGCTGAACCGTTAATAGAAGGACCAAGTAAAGAGGAAGTTGAAGTAGCTATCGGAAAATTAAAATCATATAAAGCAGCGGGAATCGATAATATTCCTACTGAACTAATTAAGGCATGCGGGGAAGCTGGAGTTTCTAAAATACATCGGTTGGTTAAAAAGATCTGGGTGAACGAGAAATTACCTGAAGAATGGAAAGAATCTATTCTTATTCCGATTCACAAAAAGGGTCCGAGGACGGATTGTAATAACTATCGAGGAATTTCACTCCTTCCGGTATGTTATAAAATATTCACTTCAATCTTAACCAGTCGAATCACGGAATACGCCGAGGAAATTATCGGAGACTACCAATGCGGATTTAGACGGAATCGTTCGACTATTGATCAAATATTTTCTTTACGGCAAATATTAGAGAAAAAATTGGAGTATAACGGTATTGTTCACCAGCTGTATATAGATTTTAAAAAGGCTTACGATTCTATTGACCGCCAGAAACTGTATAATATTCTAATTGAGCAGGGGATTCCAAAAAAACTAGTAAATCTAGTCAGGATGTGCTTGACGGAGACACTCAATAAAGTTAGAATCGGTAATAATTTGTCCGAAAAATTTGAGGTTCGTTCGGGCTTAAAACAGGGGGATTCTCTTTCGCCTGTCCTGTTCAATTTGGCATTAGAACATGCCATTAGGGAGGTAATGCGAACCGAGAAAGGGTTGGATCTGGGCGGGACAACATCCGTGCTGGGCTATGCTGATGATCTGGTACTGTTAAGCGAAGACGTTGAAACTATAAAACTAAATACGACAACGTTAATGAAAGCCGGGAAAGAACTAGGACTCGAAATAAACGTGGATAAAACAAAATATATGGTTAGCTGCAAAAATGGCGATACTACTGGTGATATCGATATAGATGGTAATATGTTTGAACAGGTAGATAAATTTAGGTATCTAGGTTCAACGATAACTAGAAAAAACGAAATTGAATAAGAGATTAAGGTTAGACTGAAGGCGGGAAATGCTTGTTATTTTTCTGTGACAAAGCTACTTAGTTCGCGCCTCTTGTCCCGGAACTTAAAAATTAGAATCTATAAAACAATTATCTTGCCTACAGTTCTTTATGGATGCGAAACTTGGCCGCTTACATTAAGAGATGAGCAGCGTCTTAAGGTTTTTGAAAATAAAGTATTGCGTAGAATATTCGGACCGAAGAAGGATGAGTTAACCGGAGAGTTCAGACGGTTACACAACGCCGAATTGCGTGAGCTGTATCCGGGTAATATAATTGATGTAATTTCATCGCGGCGAATCAAATGGGCTTGTAAAGTTGTTGGGCTTAGTAACGAGAGAATTCCTAAAAGGTTAATATTTGCTGTGCCGAATGGTAAGCGTCCGAGGGGTAGACCGAAGCGAAGGTGGGAAGATTGCATTAAAGCCGATCTGAAGGGACTGGGTTTGGACGGCGAACGGTGGAGGGAGGTGTGTAACAAGCGATTGGTGGTGTCGGCATCGAACCTTCGGGTTCGCTAAGCCTTATTATTATTATTATTATAAAAAAAGTATTCCATACCTTCTTTTGGGATTATCAAGTCAGCATTAAAATTCGTTTTGTCATCCTTCTTAAAAAGTATTAAAGATAAACTTTGACTTTTCCGCTAGTATATCCTCAGAAATTGGACACCCTCGTGATCTCTGCTGCAAAACCACATATAATGATTCCTCAACTTCTATATGACCAGGTTTAATGTTTTCTGTTTAGAGACACATCAATACGATTTCAACTCTACCACACAAAGCCATTCCAGTAATCTGTACTGAGAAACAGCCATTTCCATTCCGCCTCATCAGTCAACATTAACTTTTTCTTTCTTGTTCGAATTATCAGGGGTTTCGGATTAGTAGGGGTTCAGATTATCGAGAAGGTCCTGTATAATTAAACTGAGATGCAAAATGTTTTATTTTATAGAGGAAAAATTGATGAAAGCACTTTATAATTTCATAAAATGAAATGTTAATGCCTTTTTGCAATAAACTGGCAATTTATTTTTTCTTGTCTTGTTTTAATTATTATTCTCATATCGCAGATGAGCTCAATCAACAAGAAGAACTGCCTCTTCCTGATCATGGTGAGTTATATTTATTTTATTAACCTTTGGGCTGAGGTACTGATATGAATGCCATTGTAAAGCTGATGTTATTTATCTTTATATGTTTAATATTTCTCCATCTTTACTTCAACTTCTGTCAGGTATTACACTACAGTTTAAGATACTATTTCCCTGGTACTCCCTGCCAGCGGTGGCAGAGAACAGTGATTGTTGACAGTTGAGCACTCCTATAAAGATAATTGAATTAATAATATATTGTTTGAGCTGCTGGGATTTCTGTGTATGAAGTCATCTTCGTGCTGTTTTGTCCCAGTCGCTCCAGAAGTAGTGAAGGCATTCACAGTATGATGGATCTCTGTTATATTATCTTAAAAGATTAACGGTCACAGCGCTATTTTTTATTTATGAGAAGGAGTTGATTGGGGGAGGGTGCGGTCAAATAAATACTAAATTAAACAAATAGTATTATTTAATTTTTGCCGACGTTTCAACCCACTTTGCAGGTCATCATCAGGGCTACAAAAGATAAAAAACATGGTGAAAATAAAATAAATTAATATAAGTAGATATAAAATAAGAAGTCTGATACGGAAATAAAAAGATGATATCAGAGATATAGTCGGTGACAATGTAGTTAAAATATCATGTATTATACTACATTGTCTTATTTAACTACATTGTTACTTAATCTTTTAAAAAGTTTTATATCCGTTTCTTAACATTCAACTTATTTATAGATTTACAAAAATAAAAACATTTCTCACATTTTTCTTATTTCAATCCTCAAGTTACTGTCCTAATATTCTTTAAATAATCTGTCGTTTTCGAAACTGTCGGCTCTGGAATGGCAGACATGGTTAATTTCACTTAAAATAATTTACAATATCATTGAGTACTCTTTTTAGGGTTTGGCTCCAGAGCAAGTAGACTCACAACAGTTTCTCATAAAATTCACATTTGATCTAATTATTACTGTTTTCAGTTGGAAAAGTGTATGTTCATTAACATAATTTTAAAACATAGCTCATCCTATTATTTAAAAAGAGTAAATAGAGGTATAATATTTTAAGGTAATATTTTTGAAACATCATATTAAAGCAGGGTTTCCCAAACTCTAAAATTATTTATTACTTGTCTAACTCATTATAAATGCCAGGCTTCAACATTTTAGTAGTTATCTAATTTTTTTTTATTAAAAAAATATATAAAACCATGAATAAATTCAATCGAACTCAATTCAATAGATTTATTATTTTTTTTTTCTATGATAATTTATTGCTTGTAGGTGCCAAGGAAAGTTGCTGTAGCGGTCAGAAGGTTCGTCAAAGTTCCAACTGTGATTATAAATCTATTACTCCTCGAGGATTGAAAAAACATATAACGGTCCATAATACTGTTGAGAATCCTCACGATTGTCCTTATTGTGACAATATATATATTATATCTCAGGCTTTGAAAAGACATATACAGGCTAATCACACAGTTGAGAAACCTCATAAATGCCCTCAGTGTGACTATAAATCTGTTACATCTACAAATTTAAAAAGACATATTAAGACTCAGCATACACATGACAAGGCTCATCAATGCGCTTATTGCAATTATAAATCTGTTAGATCTACACATTTAAAAAATCACATAATGGCTCGTCATACAGTTGAGAAGCCTCATAAATGCCCTCAGTGTGACTATAAATCTGTTACATCTACAAATTTAAAAAATCACATAATGGCTCATCATACAGTTGAGAAGCCTCATAAATGCCCTCAGTGTGACTATAAATCTGTTACATATACAAATTTAAAAAATCACATAATGGCTCATCATACAGTTGAGAAGCCTCATAAATGCCCTCAGTGTGACTATCAATCTGTTACATCTACAAATTTAAAAAGACATATTAAGACTCGGCATACACATGACAAGGCTCATCAATGCGCTTATTGCGATTATAAATCTGTTACATCTACACATTTAAAAAATCACATAATGAATCATCATACAGTTGAGAAGCCCCATAAATGCCCTCAGTGTGACTATAAATCTGTTACATCTACACATTTAAAAAATCACATAATAGCTCATCATACAGTTGACAAGGCTCATCAATGCGCTTATTGCGATTATAAATCTGTTACATCTACAAATTTAAAAAATCACATATTGGCTCATCATACAGTTGAGAAGCCTCATAAATGCTCTCAGTGTGACTATAAATCTGTTACATCTACAAATTTAAAAAGACATATTAAGAATCGGCATACACTTGACAAGGCTTATCAATGCGCTTATTGCAATTATAAATCTGTTACATCTACACATTTAAAAAATCACATAATGGCTCATCATACAGTTGAGAAGCCTCATAAATGCCCTCAGTGTGACTATAAATCTGTTACATCTACAAATTTAAAAAATCACATATTGGCTCATCATACAGTTGAGAAGCCTCATAAATGCCCTCAGTGTGACTATAAATCTGTTACATCTACAAATTTAAAAAGACATATTAAGACTCGGCATACACTTGACAAGGCTCATCAATGCGCTTATTGCGATTATAAATCTGTTATATCTCAAGAATTAAAAATACACACCATAGCTCGTCATACAGGTGAAAAGCCTTATAAATGCCCTCAGTGTGACTATAAATCTGTTACATCTACGCATTTAAAAAATCACATAATGGCTCATCATACACTTGAGAAGCCTCATAAATGCCCTCACTGTGACTATAAATCTGTTACATCTACACATTTAAAAAATCACATAATGGCTCATCATACAGTTGAGAAGCCTCATAAATGCCCTCACTGTGACTATAAATCTGTTACATCTACAAATTTAAAAAATCACATAATGGCTCATCATACAGTTGAGAAGCCTCATAAATGCCCTCAGTGTGACTATAAATCTGTTACATCTACAAATTTAAAAAGACATATTAAGACTCGGCATATACTTGACATGGCTCATCAATGTCCTCATTGCGATTATAAATCTGTTATATCTCAAAAATTAAAAAAACACATAATGGCTCGTCATACAGTTGAGAAGCCTCATCACTGTCATCTCTGTGACTATAAATCTGTATCTTCTCAACAATTAAAAATACATATAATGGCTCGTCATACAGATGAAAAGCCTTATCAATGTGCTCATTGTGACTATAAATCTCATTTACTTCAATATTTAAAAAATCACATAATGGCTCGTCATACACTTGAATAGCCACATCACTTTCATCTTTGTGAATATAAAACTGTATCATCTCATAAAATAAAAATGCACATAATGGCTCGGGATACGGGTGAAAAGCCCCATCAGTGTGCTCATTGTGACTATAGATCTGTTAGACTTCCAGAAATGAAAAGACATATAATGTCTCTTCATACAGGTGAGAATCCTCATTGCTGTCCTGATTGTGACCATACTGTTACATCTCAAGAATTGAATAGACATATAATGGCATGCCATACAGGTGAAAAGCCTCATCAATGTTTTTATTGTGACTATAAATCATTTCATCTAGGAAATGTGAAACGACTTATAAAAATCCATCATACAGAAGAAAAGCCTTACCAGTGTCCTCGGTGTGACTATAAATCTGTTACACTTCAAAATTTGGAACGACATCTAATGGCTCGCCATAGAGATCAGAAGCCGAATTAGTACATTCATTGGGACTATAAATCTCCTAATTCTTATAATTTGAAAAGAAAGGTAAAATTCCATTAACAAAACGGAAAGTCCCATCAATTTCCTTATTGTGCCTGTAGATCTGTCTTCCATAAATGAAGACATATAATGTCTCGTCATACTTGTGAGAAACATCATATTTTGTTGTGTTGTTTTGATTGTTTTTATAAATTTGTTACATCTCAAGAGTTGAATAGACTTATGATAGTCCGTCATAAAGGTGAAAAGCCTCATCGCTCTTCACCACTGTAACAAATGTGACTATAAATCTGTTAAACTTTAAGATATGAAAAGATATTTAATGACTCGTCATACAGGTGTAAAGCATTATCAATGGCCTGATTGTTATTAAAAATCACAAAATGGCTTACCATGCCTATGAGAACCTTCAGTATGGCCACCATTGTGACTATACATCTGTTTCATTTCTAAAATTAATAAAACATATAATGAGTCATCATACTAGTGATAAGTCTTATTAACCTGTTCACGTCGACCATTTATTTCATTTTAAGATTAGAAAAATCATGTAAAGGTTAATGATATAGAAAGAAAGCTTATCCAATATGGATTATAAATCATGATCCTGAGCTAGATCTGTATACTAGACTTATACTGTATATATATATATATATATATATATATATATATACTAGACTTCAAGGTTTAAAAATACATAATTTGCTGCATGTCTAGATTTGAAAAATCATGTAATAGTTAATGTTGTATATTCAATATAAACCATTCAATTTGGATTATAACTAATCCATCAAAAATAATAAATAATTTTGACAAAATACCACAACTGCTCTTCAAATATTAATAATGCCATGTTATTCACATTGTTTTCTCTGGATTTGAGTGATTTTTATCACCACTTTCAATGTAGTTTTGAAACATGAAAAATTCATTAAGATTGTTATTTTGTTAAAATGTATTTTAATGTTATCAAGTTATTGTTTTGTTTATTGTGTAGTGAAATGAAACGTATATTGGAAATAAAATTCTATATTTTTTTAAGTGACTTAAAAGAAAAATAATTTCTTATGTTAGGTCCTGACAACTTAATACTCACTCACATTTTACTATAATTACTCCATATGCAAACTTAACTACTTATATGCAATTTTAAAACTATTTTTAAAAAATGTATTGATTGTATGGATTGGGCTTGTATACTATCTGGTATTGTTGCATCTATTGTCTTCATATGTCCTTATGTGATAGTCTATGTTCCATTGAACGTATTTCTCATCATCATCATAATAGATTTTTTTTTTTCTTCGCCCTACCTCCTTGGACCAATCTAAGCCTGATTTTGTAATAAATAAAAATATAAATAAATAAACCTGTCCTTCTACTTCAATCTAGGTCTTCCTCTTCCTCTTTTACCTTCTACTCTTGTATTATAAGTGCAGCTTGCGGCGCGACGGATCTATACGCATAAATAGAGGGCTAAGCTATCTCAACCTATTCTGTTCTTCTATTTCCGTAGCGGGCTCTTATTGTTGTGTTGCGGACCGGTCTCTTCTTGTTTTTCTTTCGAATTTTCGGTGAAACCTCATTTCGGTGGCTTGAAGCATATATGTCTGGAGTTAGGATCCATGATTTCGAGGAGTTTGTTAAAATTGGGAGAGAAAGCTATATTTATAAACAGCTACATTTGTCTTTTTCGCCACCTCACGACGATTCAAAAATCTTGCTTTCAGCGTTGAACATCCTCCTCGCTGCAGCAATGCATGTACGTGCGCTCCCAGGTATTTGAAACTACTTATTTGTTTATTACTATTTCGCCGTTCATTCTTCTGATTCTCATGGCTCTACTTAACTTCTTTCATATCCTCATTACCTTTGTTTTAGATTGGTTAATGCTCATATTGATATGATTCAGCTCTTCTTGGAGCTAAATTGAAGAACCTTATCATTGTTTGCGAGCACAATTATTTGCCTTAAGTTGTAATGTCCTAGGTGGAACTTTTTAAACTTTTCTTTTCATTTTCTGATGGCTGAATCCAAGACCAAAGTGAATATTGGTGGGCTAATAATACACCCTCGCCGGTTCCCAGCGGTAGTCGCGAATTCTTTCGAGGTGTTATTGGCGAGTCTTACTACACAACTGTTATTCTTATACAGACTTTCGACTGCTAATAAGTGTTTTATACCGACGTCTGTTTCTCTTAAGGCCTTAAAGATATCTCCTTACTGGGCGTTGTCAAACGCTTTGGTTGGTTAGATCTACGAACCTAACAGATAGGTTTTTCTTTAGATCTTTCTCTTTTTCAAGGACTTTTTCTTGGATTTGTCTCATTGCAACAATGAGGTTATGTGTGCTTCGGTTAGTACCATGCTTGGTTTCGACCATTCTTCTGATCCTCTTTTCTATTATCTTGGAATAGATCTTATTCGGCATACTTAAGTAAGTAAGTGTAGCATAAGCTCTTGACCTTTTTGACCCGTATATCTCAACATTTCGGGTATAATTTCGTCAATTTCGGCTGACTGTCCCAGTTTCACCTCTAATATTGATGCTTCTAGTTCTTCTTCTTCTATGTAGTAATCCTCTTCCCATTTTCGTTGTATTTCTCCTTCTTCAGGCTCTCTTCCGGGGTCGCTGCTTCCTTCCACTAGTAATTCCGTAAATATTCTTTCCATGGTTTCAGTCTTTCCCACCGAATCAGCGTGAGAGATAGCCATGACCCTAAATGTGTCGCAAACAAGCGTAGAAACCCATTTGCACAAGCTCGGCTATGTTTCCAGGCTTAATGTTTGGGTCCCTCACTCTCTAATCGAAGTCAACTTGGCAACACGCATTTCTGTTTGTGATTCACTTTGGAAACGTCAACAAAACGACCCATTTTTGAAAAAGTTGGTAACAGGAGATGAAAAATGGATATTTTAGGGAGTGAGGTTCCTAGAAGAATGCCAAAACCCGGATTGCATCCAAAGAAGATAATGCTTTCCATATGGTGGGATTTCAAGGGTGTTATTTTGTATGAGCTATTGCCATCAGGACAAACAATTGATTCAACTCTATACTGCTCACCATTATCAAAACTGAATCAATAAATTAAAAATAAACGTTCAGAACTGGCAAATCGGAAGATTGTTGTGTTCTACCAAGACAACCCCTCATTGGTCACTCTTAATAAATTATTGAATATTGGATAGGACCTTTTGTCCCACCCTCCCTATTCACCAGACCTGGCTCCAAATAACTACCACTTATTCCGGTGTCTGCAGTACTCCATGAATGGAATGAAATTCTAAAAGGAAGAGGACATCAAGAACCACCTGGATTAGTTGTTTAACAATAAACTCCAGACATTCTATGAACATGGCATTATACAGTTAGTGGAAAGATGGGAAAAAGTCATGTTAAACATTATATTTAAATTAATAAACATTAGTCAATATATTATAGATTAATATAAATGATTCCTAAACCTTCAAAACCTACCACTTCTCCTTCATCCTATCGTCCTATAGCACTTCTTCCAATAATGGGGAAAATGTTTGAAAAACTACTACTAAACCGTCTAAAGCCTATTCTAGAAAATAGTGAAGTGATACCAAATCACCAGTTTGGCTTTCGCTATTAGCATTGTACTGTGCAACAGTGCCATCGGATAGTAGATGCTATCTCTGTGACTTTTGAAAAAAAGGAATATTGCTCTGCCGTCTTCCTCGACATAGAGAAAGCATTTGATAGTGTCTGGCACAAGGGCCTATTATGGAAACTAAAACCGCACTTACCTTCCACTTATTTTTTAATTCTTCAATTCTACTTTCTTAATCGATTTGTCTGTACTTCCGTAGATTCTTCTGTTTCTTCCTTCTTTCCCCAACACAAAGGCGTACCACAAGGTAGCATCTTAAGTCCAATCCTCTATTCTGTTTACACTTCTGATATCCCTGATTACCCTAATACCACCATGTATTGCTTCGCTGACGACACTGATATTCTAACTTCACACAAAAATCCTACTATCGCATCAATTGCTCTACAAAACCATCTTCATGATCTTGAAAAGTGGTTTGAGAACTGGAAAATAGTAATAAATCCACCCACGTTAGTTTCTCTCTTAGGAAAGCCTCATGTCCACCCATAACGATTGCCAATAATCCAGTGCCTTCAAAGAACTATGTACGGTACCTTGGACTCTACTTAGACAAAAGACTTACTTGGAACATACATACGAAATTAAAAAGACAAGAACTTACTAGACGATATAGCCAACTTTCACATCTTCTGGACTACAGATCTTCACTTAACTTACGAAACAATCGACTGACCTACAACACCTTACTGTGACCAATATGGACATATGGAGCAGAACTTTGGGTTTCTGCAAAACAAACACACATAAACAAAATACAAACAGCACAATCAAAAATTGTCAACGCACCTTGGTACATTTCAAATACTACTATACATAACGACTAAAACATCCCAACAGTAAAATCCTACATCCACGACAAATACACTACATTTCATTCTTCATCCCAAAATCACTCCAATCCTCTGGTTTTTTTTATCTCCTGCTCCCTGTTACCTGAACAACGCAGATTAAGAAGAAAATGGCCAAGAGACCTACTACATCAATAAAAACCAAATCAAGAAAAACACCAAGACTGTACAAACACAACAAATTTGCTAGATGCGCAGTCGCGCAGGTACAAGTTGCAAAAAATATAAATAAATAATAAATTTTATGTCTATAGTGCATTGACTTTTATTTCACCCTGGAAAACCCGAAAGGACTTATTTGCCTCTAATGCAGTATCTTCATAATAACTGAAAAGTACTAATGCAAAAACTAAATAAGTTGAGATTCACAAATTTTAGTGTTGGAACAAGATAAAATTAATTGCCAAACCAGGTAACCCTATCGCTGTATATTAGGTTTTGAAGTAATCACCAAGTCCAGGACTAGTATATATATATATATATATATATATATATATATATATATATATATATATACTAGACTAATTATTGTAGTCTAATTGTATATCTAGAATCGAGTTCGTTATTCCTTTATGAAATTTGTTATCTTTCGACACAATGTTTACCGAAATCCTTTGCTTTTGAGAGGTGGAAATGAGGCTTATACTGCATATAAGACTAAACAAAAATAACTCAGTAGAATAGACACGCATACTGTTGAAATATCGACAATCACGTTTACCTTCATTACCAATTTCTAACCATTGGGAGATTACAGATTTTGTTCACAGTAAATGGCCTACATTAAATTAGTTGGTATTCAGTTGACGCGAAATTTGATGCTCTACAACTTTGATTCTATGGGTTTTTCCACTAAGTTAACTCGTTTACAAGTTACAGGGTCATTTATAGTAATTTGTCTCCGTTTTTGACAAATTTGGTAAGAATCAGCGTTGGTTGACCGTGCTTTTATACCTTACCGCGTAACCAAATTATAATGTTTACGCACTTGTTCGACGCAAAAGTTAACATTCTTTGATTTATTAAAGAATACATTTTTCGCTTGGATGCATCGTTTAGGAGTTATAGGTGGAAAAAAAAAAAATCTTTCTTTTTTTGTTTGTAAAAAGTTTTCCCTTGCATGGCCGCTTTAGCAATTTTGTTTTTTACATGTCTAAACCCAATATAGATATATATAAGTTAAAAATATTTTTATTTTTTATTTATTGATGGTATTTACAACTGTATTACAAGTAAAAATACATTTAGTAAATGTGAAAAAAAGAATATAAAAGCATGAAATCATTTGTTGAGAAACTACCCACTGGTAGCACTCTAAAAATGTATTTACAAAAGGAGATCTCGAGGCCATCTTCTTTCCAGACGCCTCGGAGGGTTGTCCGGGATCGAAAAGGAAGCAAGGTTAGAAACGAGAGGGTTAGGATGGTTGTGAAGTTTGTTATGGAAGGA